AGCGTGAGTGTGCCAGCATCAGTGCAGTCCCAAATGTGTCCCTTGCAACTTCACTTCCTTCGCTTCCATACAAGTAAACTCGAAGAGAAACTAGTTGCATTAAATTCAATGTCACGTTTAAAAAGCAGTTTAACTGAGTACAGTGGCTGATGCCTGTAATCCCAACATTTGGGGAAGTGAAAGTGGGTGGATCTCTACAAAATATTAAAAAAGTGGCCAAGCTTGGTGGCACATCCTATAGTCCCAGCCATGAGGGAGGCTAAAGTGAGAATTGCCTGTGTCCAGGGGTTCAAGGTTACAGTGAGCTATGATTGAGCTGCTGCACTCCAGCCCAGGCAACAGAATAAAATCCTGTCTATAAAAGTATTTTTTTTAAAAAAGCCATTCAGTCAGAAAACTTATTGTTACCTTGTATTCTTGAATGTTAGATATTTGAATTGAGGTTTCCTGTGCAGACTAGATGTCCTCCATTTGTTGTTCATTCAGCAAACAGCCCAGGTATTGATTTTAGAGTCTACCATATAAAGATGAATGATGCTGGGTTAGTTAACTCTTGCTGCATAAGAAATTATCCCACAACTTAGAAGCTTAAAATAGGAAACATTTATTATCTCACTCACTTTCTTAGGATCAGGAATCTGAGAGTATCTTAGGCTAAATATTTCTAGCTCAGGATTTCTCATGAGGTTACAGTCAAGGTCTCTGCTGGGGCTACAGTTACCTCAGGGTCATTTGTGACTAGAGGCTAGATACAGTGGCTCATGCCTGTAATCCTAGCACTTTGGGAGGCCGAGGCAGGAGGCTCATTTGAAGCCAGGAGTTAGAGACCAACCTGAGCAAAAACGAGATCCTATCTCTACAAAAAATGGAAAAATTAGGTGTGTGTGGTGGCCTGTGCCTATAGACCCAGCTACTCAGGAGGCTGAGGCAGGAAGATTTTTTTTTTTAGAGACAGAGTCTCACTTTATCACCCTTGGTAGAATGCTGTGGCATCACAGCTCATAGCAACCTCTAACTCCTAGGCTTAATAGGAAGTTCTCTTAAGCCCAGGAGTTTTGAGGTTGCTGTGAGGTATGATGATGCCACTGCACTCTAGACTGAGAGACAGAATAAGACCCTGTCTCAGGAAAAAAAAAAAAAAAAAGGCTCAACACTTACAATCAGTGGCTGGCGGTTCAAACCCAGCCCAGGCCTGCTAAACAACAACAACCACAAAAAAAAAAAAGTTATTGTGGAAGGTGCTTGTAGTCCCAGCTACTTGGGAGGCTGAGGCAAGAGAATCACTTAAACCCAAGAGCTGGACGTTGCCGTGAGCTGTGATCCCAAGGCACTCTACCAAAGAGTGAAATAGTGAGACTCTGTCTCAAAAAAAAAAAAAAAAAAAAAACAAAAAAAACCTGTACGAGAGAATCTGCTTCCAAGCTTACTTCAGGTTATGGTAGGCCTGAGTTCCTCTCTGAATGTTGGTTGGAGGCCTCTATTCCTCGCAGATGTGGCCTTAATACACTGCCAGAGTGTCCTTGTGGCATGGTGGTGGGCTTCCCCCAGAGCAGGTGACCTGAGACACAGAGACAGAAGCATCTGTGTTCTTATAACCTAATCTCACATGTGCTGTGCCATCATTTCTGCAGTATGCTGTTGAACACTTAGACCAACCCTAGTACCGCATCAGAGCTTATTCATTTTGATGTGTATACACAGGAACCATCAGAATAAAAACTCAGAGATACAGAGAAAATTGTCCGTCTTTATGCTTAGGTTCAACAAAGCATGAACAGCCATGTAGAAATAGGATTGGACAGAAAGGGCATGATCTAATACTAACAGACTGGTGGGGAAAACCCCTTTTCCACGTATATACAATTTTGCCTGCATGATGTGCTGTAGGGTCATCCACACAGAATGGCAGTGCATTAAAGAGGGAATTCTCTGGAGGAAGCTACAGTGCAAAGCGGCAGCCCATGCCCTCCCCATCAGAGGGCTCTTTGTCTTCTGGAGGCATGGACCAAGGAAGTGATGCCCCCGCCAGGGACTATGATGGAGAGGTGAGTAGCACTATGCCTAGAGTCAGGGGTTTGGGGACAGCTTCTGTCACAAAGACAGGAGCATTCACCCAAGTAATCCCACCACCTAGAGGTTGGCCTCAGGTGCAGCAGGGGTCAGCAGCCACTTTCCACCAGGGGGCAGCACAGCCAGTCACTTCGACTTCTGACAGGTTTTGTATGAAAATATCTGTATTTCTAAAGGACGTGTGTTACGTCTGTCATCTTGAAGCCCTGTGTGGTTATTTGGTCAGGGCTGGTAACCTGAGCCCTCCTGTCTTCCTTTCTCCCTCTGCTTCTCCTTAACATTTTACTTTGGGCCTTACAGGACTCTGATTCTCCGAGGCATTCCACAGCTTCCAACAGTTCCAACCTGAGCAGCCCCCCAAGCCCAGTTTCACCCCGAAAGACCAAGAGCCTCTCTCTGGAGAGCACCGACCGTGGGAGCTGGGACCCATGAGCTGCTCTAAGCACTGAGACCTGGGCACTGGGCAGCTCTCGCCCTCAGCTCCCCTCCACCCACCTTCTCCCACTTTCATCCCTTAGCTCCACCTCAGCCTGAAAAGACCAGGGGCTGGCAGCAGCAGCAGGGCAGGGATTCGGGAGTTCTGACGACATGACTCAGATCCACGCCCCCTTGGCCTCAGCAGCAGCAAAGGCAGACTTTCATTAAGCAGCTTAGATTAATATTGATTTCATTCCATACTCTTAGAGTTGCTTTTAATACTATTTTACTCCTTCCCCAAAAGGTAGCTTAAATAGACAGATTACACAAATGTAAGTGATAAGAATAAGACTAGACAGATTTTGTTTTCACAGTAGAGTCTCATTATAGTCCTAAACTAGCTTATGGGATTCTCCATGTCATGAGGGGAGAATCCGACCCTGGAGTGACACACTAAGCTCATTGAGCAACCACAGAGTCAACCTGACGTTGCCAGGAAATCCTTATGAATTAAAACAATGCATATTTTACTACAATACAGAGTTTAAGTGAATACATAAATGTAGAAGTTAAATACCGAATGTATATAGTCAAAAGAAGCATCTTGTATTCAGTGAAAGACAGATGCATATATAAGAGAGAGATCATTTAATTTAAAGAAATGTGTTGTTTCTTGTCTGTTTCCCAGCTAATTAAGTAACATAAAGGATACATAGGCCTCAAGATGACATTTGTAGAAAGAGAGGGAGAGAAATTGGAGTTCCCTTTAGGGCCCTGTCCTCAGACTGGTCACAGGCCGCCGCCCCCTGAGGACCTTTAGTTTGCAGTGTGATCTGGGTTTCAGAGTTTTAACATTTAAAGCCACTTCAGCAGCAGCATCAAAAGGCAAACTCACCTCTACCCAAGATGTTCCTTTTTCTAGTGGTTAGAATTTGAATCGCACTTCTCATTTTTTTGTTAAGTTTTAATGTCTTCTGCTGATGAATGTAGAAATACTGTTCTGTCCCCTCTGATCCCTTCTGGCTGAAAGGGCACAAGAGTGTTGTGGCTTCTGAAGGTCCATAAAAAGGTTCATTGGAATGTTCTTTTCCTGGATAATCCTGTTTCTCCCTAAGTTGTAGCGAGATACCCATCCCAGGGCAGGAGACAGCTTCCCCAGAAGGAATCTGTTTTGTTGACCATGGGTGTGAGCTTCCTCAGATAGCCTAGGGGAAAGGTTTTTATTACCAAATAATGTAAAACCCCCAAAGCAAGGACTTGAACAGCCTTAACCAAATATTCTTTCCCATACCCAGTGGAAAATGGCTGTGATTAACCCCAGAGCACAGGCAGGAAGTCAGCCCAGAACGGCCATCTGACTGGTTCCTCTCCACTGCTGCTATGCTGTGGCATCACCTTTCCAATTGCATTACCTCTGTTTTAATTGCCATATGGAAATGAGATGCAGAACCAGAAGAGTTTATTTCTGCAGAATCATTCTATCAGTTAAAGCACATGAGGAAATAAAAATAACAGTAGAACCTCCACAGTTGACCACCTCCCTACATGAACCACCTCCTTAAGTTGACCTAATTTTCATAGACTGGATGTGCTTCACGTATACATATCAGTACGGCTAACCCCCCTCCCTTCCCCGACACCTTACCCTCCCCTCTCTCCCTTTCTTCCCAGGCAGAGAGGAGACAGAGCCAAAGCTGACAGGACTGTGCACTAAGCCATTAGTTTGCAAATTGTGAATTTTTGTTGCCTATAGGTGCATATTTTCCAAAGGATGCTTTTAGGATCAAAATACAACCCTACCTAAAATCTAGGCTCCACTACAATGAGTCATACTTTTCAGTCCTCTAGCAGGCAGATGAGAGAGAGCTCCTGAGGCTTCTCTTGGCTGCCAGAATAACTGGGCAGTTTGTTCACCTTAACCTGATGAGTTTGCTCCAGGGCACTTTGATTTTTCCACTGCAATCATGAGTAGTCTCATTGGTCATAAAAGAGCAGTCCCAAATATGTTTAGATTCTAAAAGCAGGACTTTGGAGAGAAACACTCCTGGGGTAATGATTTGGGGGAGGATTTTCCTCCTAGACTTATCCTGTGCTTAAATATGAAGGCTGTCACCTTCAGAAGCTTCTGAGAGGAATGATTTGAAAAGGTAGGGAATGGGTTCCAGGGAAACAGAAAACTAGATCACAGAAACGGTGTCCTGTCACTGTCTGAAGTCATCTTTTGTTTCCATGCAGGATGTTTTAAAAATGCATATGGCAACAGGAACTAATTTCTCAGTAGAAAAACATTGAGTGGCATTTCTGGGATAGTCTGTATGCATTGGTATTTGGTGCTATCTCTGTGCAGCCAATTTACTCTTGAATTCTGACTAATCTTGTCAATGTGCTTTGGGTGTATAAAACATATATATTTCTTTTTGCCAAAAACAAAAGCCTTCTTCCTTGTCAAGATTTCACTTCTTTAGTTATTAAATATACGTGTATTTATACACACAGACCCGCACACTTGGTGATTGATGTCCTTTCCCAGGGAAGCACAGATTTAAGTCTATGAGATGCAACTAAAAACGGCCCATCTATTTGGTTTTCCAACCAGTTCTTAGACTTGAGCTTCAGGAGAGAATCTGAAATTCCTTTCATGTTTACAACAACAATCTGTCATTTCCAGCTGGCTCTCAGCACCCCCTTCCATATGGTTAGAATCATGTCATTTGGTTACTTAGTGGCCCCATCTATTTCTGGGAAAGACCAGTTGCTTTTATGTGGAATCTCAGGTATCATTAAGGAAAGGCTAGAGCAGGGGTGAGAGGACATCCTAACCCTCAAGATGCAGCAGGACTCTGACACACACTGTTGTCTCCAGCTGAGTGGGCCTTACCAAGCACAGGGCTCACCACCCTCTCTGGACAGAGGGGCTCTCAGCAGCCTGACGTTCCTGTTGCAGCTCATTCCTGGCCTTAGCCCACATCCGCTGAACACAACAGGGAATGAACTGGTACTTCACTCCCCCACCTGTCTCTGGCCCGACCCTGATTTAGATAAGCAGCATGACATTTGATCAAGCCCATTTAAAAACCTGTTTCCTTGTTATGATCTTAATTATTACTCAAGTCCAGAGTTCTCTGTGGGCTCCTGCTCAGTAAGGATAGCCTCGCTTCTGCAGGGGCACAGGTGGTAGCCGGCTCGCCGCTTCCTCCCAGGGACAACCATTACACACACACAAGGCGCCATTGCAGTTGTGGGAGAAACTGACTCAAATCAACCTGAAATCTCATGAAAACAAAATGACCTGCCTTTTTATTTGATAGTGTAATATCATTTATTTTATAAATTTTTAAGAGTTTTTCTCATTGTAATATTATTGTACAGTTTTGCATGGCCTAGGTGTAATCATTTTTTTGTTTGTTTGTTTAGAATATAATGCTGACAAATACGTGTGTTATAGAGGGGAAAAGATACTGCTTTGGCCCCTTATCACTCCTTATTTTATTTTGTTTGGTTTTATGCCCTCTATGTCTTAGGGAACTTTATAAGAGATTCTCTGCTACTAAACAATGATGTGGATCCTTTTGCACAGAAATATTTAAGGTGGGATAGTAAAAAATGTAACAGGACTCTTCACCAATGTTTTATGTTGGTATCACTTAATATTAACCAGACTTTGATGTATTGCAATAAAACAGGGAACTGTTAGAACTGGGTATTTGGTCTTTTTTCTCCCTCCATTTACGAAGTTTAAGGATGGGGAAAAGGTGACTAACTTTCCGTGTCTTATTTGATCTTGCTTTCTCCTGGTTTCCCTCCTCATCCAAGCTTCTTCCTTACACTGCCAAAGAGGACAGGGGGTTAGTTTCGCCACCTGTGATTTAATCTGGGATTTTCATCATGTCTTCCTTAGCTCAGGTAAGAATAGTGTTAAATTTTCTTAATGTGTCCAACTCCTCTCTTGTGGTCAAAACTTCTTTATTACTGTTACTGAGTCTGCAAGACCAAGCCTGTGTGAAATTTCATGGGTGGCCCTAACAGTGTAAATGTGAGAGCAATTTAATTTTGTGTCCGCTTATTGAAGAAAATTAGTAGCCAGTCAAACAAGAGTTACAGGCTCGGCGCCTGTGGCTCAAACAGCTAAGGCGCCAGCCACATACACCTTGGCTGCAACCAAAAAATAGCCAGGTGTTGTGGCGGGCGCCTGTAATCCCAGCTGCTTGGGAGGTGAAGGCAGGAGACTCACTTGAGCCCAGGAGTTGGAGGTTGCTGTGAGCTGTGACACTAGAGCATTCTACCCAGGGCGACAACTTGAGGCTCTGTCTCAAAAAAAAAAAAAAAAAACCAAGAGTTACTGTTACTGCTTTGAGTTAGAATGGTACATGGCAGGTAGGGCAGCAGTTAAATGATACTCCTGAGACCCCTCGCTGTTTTCTTTTCCCATGTAATTGTCGTTTTTGACTGACTTATGCATTTTTACAGTATATGTTGGCTCTAGGAGCAGCGGCTGGGCAGTGGTTTAGACTAAATAGGTCTTGGCAAACTTTTTCTGTAATGGGCAAGTTAATATTTTTGGCTTTGTCAGCTTTGTAATCTGTTGCAGCCACTATGCCATGACAGTGTGGGAGCAGTCTTAGTCTGATATGCAAATGGATGAGTGGCTGTGGTCTTAATACAGCTGTGCTTAGAGCAGCGCAGCAGCCAGATTTGGCCCGCAGACCACAGTCCACCTGCCCTGGGTTTAGACTAGACCTAGAGATGGGAAGACAAACTATCTTATTCTAGATCCTAGTTAGTCCCACCACGTAACCTCTAAGCATCAGTTTTCTCCTCTAGAAAAATGCTTCCTTTGAGAGTCAGAGGAGGTAATGCTGACCGGTACTCAGAATACCATATGTAGCTTGTGGCACAGTTTAGTCATTGTTACGAACATCGAAGCCGAGGGTAACACGAATTCTTTCCTCTGTGCTGCTGTGCCTTCAGCCCTAAAGCACATGTTACAGATACAAAGTCATGGTCCCCAAGCCATGATTTGCCATGTCCCTGTGCCACGTCTTTCAGTGCTAGTAGGTGGACATGGGGAGTCATTTTTTCAGGTGATAACTGCCAAGGTACAAAAGAAAACGTGTGTGGCCATTTTCAGAGCTGACAACTTGGAGATTGGAGTATCCCCAGTGATCCCCACTGCCATCTCAGCTGGCTCTCAGACTTAGGGCACAAAACCACATTCCAGTTTCCTTTAGAAGTCCTCTTCTGGCAGTTATGGTCAGTGGTGCTTGGGAAAGTAAATACTTTCTCTGCTCTTTATTTTCTCCCCTCTCTTCATCTTCATGCTACTGTTCTGTTTATTTGGGTTGAGAGGAAAAGTTTTGTGAGAGCCGTGGCTGGGGCTGGCCTGGGCTCAGCCCCCCCTCTTCACCCTGCAGGGTGGTCGCTCCAGAGTGTTTGCTAAAGAGCAGCTCAGCCCCTAAGAGGGCGCCACTGCTAGCCAGGTGGCCTTAGGGAGACCACCCAAGCCCCTCCTTCCTTTCTCAAAGCTAGCCTGTCCATCACTCAGCATTCCCAAATTTCAGAAACTAAAATGTAAAAACCCTGAAAACCTATACAAGGACCCATTTTGGACCACTGAGGTCTCTGCAGGTGCATTTTCAGGGTGCCCACAGGTCTGCTGGA